CCCCCCCCCCATCCAGAATTCATATACTGTATACATAATTATACTTGATATTCTTGTGGTAGCACTGCTGGCTACAGAAAAAAGAAGTGGAATGAGGAAGTAGAACACAGAATAATGGTGGGTCATGATCGCCAGGTGGTCCTGCATAATGCAAAAGGCAGTAAAATGCAATTCAAATAAATCGACCGAAGTTTATGGTGCCCTGGTGAAATCACTATGTTATATCTTGTTATGTAATACCATGCACCAGAGGTGGCTCGGCCATCTGCAAAATGTTTAAATGTCCTTTGGACAGTGCTGTGTCAACTGTGTGCGGACGTGCTGTCAAGCACGAGGCTTACCAGTCTGATGTTGGAACCATTTGGTCATCTGGCTGGTTTCCCACTATGTGATCGATGAAGCGCAAACCTACTTGTGGCCTGCAGAGAAAAGCAAAAAAAAACAAAAAAAAAACACTGCAGAGGTAATTTCATTCTTGAGATTAGCAAACATTTATAAGGAACCCTGACATCCTAATTTTTAAATCTGTACATTTCAGAGATAACTGAACAACCAATTGAATTGGGGCAAACGGTGCTTAGGGGTCACTTCCAATCAAGAGGGCAAGCATGCTCAAAAGTTTTTACCGTGTTATATAATTATGCTCAGCTAGGCCCCACCCAATGCAATAAATAAAGAGCGTGAAAACATGTGATATGGAGTTTGTATGCTCTCTTCGTTCTTAGATGAGTTTTCTAAAAAATAAAAAAAATCTGCCTCCAAATATTAAATGTTATTCATTTAAAGTGAGGCTTTGGAAAGCACTTTTGAGCAGGTGTCACCAACAATCTGATATTTCGTAAATGATATTGCATTCAATGTCAAATGTTAAAAATGTCATCTTTAAAAGACTCACAGTTTGGCTAAGAGTGGATCCCTAAACATGGGTTCTTTGTAGCCAGGCAAGAAAAGGCCTTTGTAGGGCCCCAGGTACTCAATAAATGTGTGCGTCGTATCTCCATACTGCAGACAGAACGTGAGAGTTATTCTTATGTCATATTTCAATTCTATGAGTGCATCCAATTGGATTTTTGTGTGTTTACGCGCCGTCTGCACCACAGCATACTTGACCCTGCCGTGGATGTCCTCCTCCACCCAGGGATCCTTCACAATGACCGCTCCTCGCTGCTTGGCCGTCTGACAGTGGAAAGCATGGAACACTTGTCAGTTGGAGTCTGCCTCCACTCGACAGGGCGTCTGGGTGCCCTCCAGTGGTTGGAGACATCCTAACGTCTCAAATCACGAACAGAGTGCCAAGGCACGTGGATTACATTAAAAAAAAAAATCAAATCTAGTCAGCCCTGCGTTGGTATCAATTAAATCTGGAGAGTTCGCTGTATTTGAAAGTTGTACATTTGTGTGACGAGTGGATCTTTATTTGTTGGTTCAAATATCTGTTTTGACCTTGGCTTAGATAACGAGTTCAATCACGTACCCAAACTTGAAAGCTTTCATGTTTATCCATTTCAACATACTCTTACCCAAGCATAACAAGAAAAGTGGTCGTGTGAGGAAAAACGCTTGAAATGAAATACGAACTAAAGGATGTTTTTGCTTTAAAATACCGTAAAAAAAAAAAAAAAAAAAAATTAAACCCCGATTGGGCAATTTTAAAGCCACGTTTTGATCTTAGCGTGTACTTATCTCTACTGACCTCACTGAAGCTGACACAATATTTACATTCTAGTCTGTGTAAACTTGTGGGTCCTGTATATATATATATATATATATACACACACACACACACACACACACACACACACACACACACACACACACACACACGTCTTTATATTTACCATAACCCTTGTGTAAAAACAATGACACTTTCGAAGTCGAACGCTGCAAAAAGTTCAAAACAAAATCAATTCTTGGTTAAGAGCAACTCAATGAAATTAATTAATTAATTTCGCTTTTTTTTTCTTTGGTGCCATCACGGAAGATAAACGTGTCATGACAGCCACAAAACTAGAAATAGTTCTACCTAAACATACCATCTTACAAGTTTTTGAGACATGGCGATCGATTAAAGTAAAAAAAAGTAAACTGAGTTACGAGCTTTGTCATGGAATGAATTTAAACTTATAAAACAGGGTGCCAATGCATCAATTTATCAACCGGGTGTTAACAGAAATGCCCGATGATTTGTTATTAGTTTAAAAATGACCAGTTAAGTTCGCCAGCAAACGGTAAAATGTTAGCGTGTGGGAAAAAATATTAAGATGTTTTTTTTTAAATGCTGCCAACCGACTGTATTCTTTGTAGTAGTACCTATAAATGACCACTAGGTGTATCGATGCGGAAAAATCTTACACCGTCGTTAATCAGGCATCTTCAAAGGGTGAGTAGTTTTTAATTTACAGTATTTTAGGTTTATATTTGCTTTATTATACAGTGGTTAACTTTTTTTAACACGTGTATGATAGTTTGGAATGTTAAATCGAAGTTTTGTAATGTGACAGGCAATTGAGTTTGCTTCAGTCACCAAGTTTCCTTTGCCTCCAGTTGAATCGGTTAGTATTTGCAGAGTTTTAGAGACGTTTCAGAGAATGTGCTGTGGCTTTCTGGCATGTGATGTAATTTGTAACAGTTCAAATGCACCTCATTTTACCTTGATTAAGTAGTCACAGTCCTCCACTTGGAACGCGATGTCTTTGGCGCCATCTCCGTGCTTCATCAAGTGCGCTCCCATCTCTGACAGGACATGCCATCATGTTGATATTACGGTAATATTTCATATTTTATCTACTGTTTTCTCATATGCCTTCACGAGTTTCTTGCCTTCATTTCCAGGATTGAGTGGAGAATCAAATGCAAATATGATCTGTTTGGAGTCAAGAACAGAGTCAAAATACAGGTTGGACATGTAGCTTAAAATCTGTGATTTCAGGTTGTTCAAGCTGCCGTACCTTATCTTGCCTGATGACATGTGAGACGACCTCTCGGCTGCCAGTCTCCAAGCCCTTGTAGGCCAGAGGCTCAAAGCCCATCTTGTCACAGTAGAAGGATGCCGCCTGAAGACAGGACAAAAAGTCTTTTCTATGAAGGTAAAGTCTGCCAAATCATAATATTGCCAGTGGATAATTCGGTCCCACTTCTGTGCAGCCTGGCTAAAACAGCACATTTCATTTTTATTTAACTGCTGGATGGGTATCTTGTAGCTAAAAATAATGAAATGGTCAAGGACTGTAAAATTGTGAGAGGGTATTAATTAATGAAAAATATTAGTAAAATATTTTGATTGTGTTGCATTTCGAACATAATTCAATCATATCCCTGATTTTATTAGACACCTTTGAAGAAGCACAATCTTGTGCCTGATTATAAAGAATTCTGCTTTGTCTAGCATAACCAGAACAGGGGTCAACAACATGGTGTCAGTGGGAACTAGCTGGGGTTCAATAGAGTTGAGAAGTCCAATTCGTTTTGATATTGTAAGAAAAAACCCCCAGCAACAACAACAATCCTCATATCTGCATCTAACTTCTGTTGTTCTTATTATATATTTTTAAATTACACTTTTATTTGTGGGACAATTATGCGGCCATTTCTACTCCTTCTTGCCTTGACATATTTTGAGGATATTTTTAAACAACCTTTTGTATTTCACATAGTGAAAGACGTAACTTGCATCAGCGACAATGTTGAACATCATCTTGTTTAAAAAGAGTCTGCATTTGCATACTGACCTGTTTGGCATTGCCGACCCAGAAGGTGACATGATGAAACCTGACAAATTTTCCCCTTTCATGCTAGAAAAGACAAAATAAATGTGTTTTTGTTTTTACATATTTCACAGATATCAATGTTATGAAATTCTGCATCTACTGTTTCTTCACTGTAAACGATTTATTGTAGAATGTCCCATCAGTCCTTCATATATCACGCCACATCGCAACTTACCTTCTCCCCTTTATCAGTGTAGCTCGTCTAAAAGGAAACAACAAATATTGATGATGACATCATCAAAGTCGGCAGAGTGGATATTTCTTCTTCTTATTTACAGTTTCTGTCTCCATCATGTTATAGTGGATATTTCTTCTTATTTACAGTTTCTGTCTCCATCATGTTAATGGCGACTATGATAGTCTTACCATGCTGCGTGTGGAGCCTCAGTTCAACGTGAGTGACATCAAAAGCATCGTCCGGGTCTCTGCTGCTGATATGTACTGACTTGATGGCTATCCGTGATTGGTCATTGGGTATCTACACCCACCTGTCCAGTGTCCGCCTCCTCTTCGTGTCACTCTTGTGGATCAAGTTCGAATGCACTCATCTGTCTTGCATCCACAATCAATTCACACATTTGTCATAAATCTGACATATTCACATTTGAATTTACATCAAGAAACACGCATCAACCTGAGTGTAAATTGTAAAATTTGGTTTTTATATTACAGTCATGGGTCAGCTGGAGCCAAGCTGAGTCTTTGGGCAAGAGGATGTGCCATCTTGGACTGGTCACAAGTCAGTACAGACTAACAAGCAGTCACACTCACATTAAAACCTATCGACTATTTAAATTCTTCCGTCAAACTAACAGGCGTGCTTTTAGAATGTGGGGGCAAGGACAATGGAGAAAAAAAATATGCAGCACGTGGAGACCAATGCCAAGATTCAAACCCAGAACGTCTCAACTGAAGGCAGATGAGCTAGCCGGCAACTTTGTTGAGCGGCAGCTGGTCAACAGAGGGCACTAGGGCACCGCCATACTGCTCAGCGCAGTCATCTTGAATGAGACAAAAATGAAAATCAAATTATACAGTTATCGATGAGTAAAATAGTTTTGTTAAGCTCTGTCGTCTTGTTGCAAAGTTTCCAATTTGGCCGCAATGATGTTTTCCCCGTCGATTTTCGTTCAAAGTTTGACATTCGGGTATCGCTTCTCTTTAATACGAATGCTATTTCTGATTGACAAAGAGACTGGACCTCCTGCTTTTACATCTATTCTTGCTATAAGAAAGGGAATTTCCCGTACTTTGATTGCTACTTCCTATGAGGCCAGGTGGCAATTGGGGAAATCGGAAGAACTCCCCAACGGCCAGTTATATCCAGGTTGACCCGGTTCAATGTTTTTTTGTTTTTTTTTTAATAGGCCATAATTCCGATTTAATTTCATATCCATCTTTTAACAAAACAATTACAGATTACTGTTCAACAAATATAGGATGAATTGTACTATAGGTTGGCCTGCATGTATAATGTCAACAAAGCCATGCATGACAAGTGCATTGACCGTGCGTACACCAAGGGAGAGGCAGCAAGCACATGGCTGGCCGAGTGGCTCGGCTGCAGTCAATGCCAAATGCAACATGAGTCACATGCGGGTAGCAGCACTTTACAATTAATGATAAAATTGTTAAATACTTGAGTACTTTTCTGTTGTATGACTGAATATTATGTTTGATCAGCATCAGAAAATGATAAAATCTCTGTGACCTGACTTTGTGATTTGGTAACATTGTGCTACACATTTACTTACTTGAAGGTGACAATGGCAAAACTGATGTAATCCTGCGTAATGTAGGCAATTGTAAAATGTTTAGCATACCACAAAAATGATTCCTCATTCCTTGGTGAGGGGGAAACAAAACTGTTTGGCCTTGTCATGATCACGTTCTGTTAATGTCCAGCAGGTGGCAGAAGCGTGCCTGGTTTTCCTCCTGCGCACCTGTCTTGCGTCACAATCATTGGGACTATTTAAGGACCTCATAGGGTCGATGCTCAGTCATTGTTCATGTGCATTTCGTCTAGACCAGGGGTGTCAAACTCCGGTCCTGGAGGGCCGCTGTCCTGCATGTTTTCCAAGTCTCCCTGTTGCAACACACCTGATTCAAATGAACAGGTTCAATGTCAGGCTTCCGCAGACCTTGCTGATGATCTGTTCATTTGAATCAGGTGTGTTGCAACAGGGAGACTTGGAAAACATGCAGGACAGCGGCCCTCCAGGAACTGAGTTTGACACCCCTGGTCTAGACGCTCTCTCATTAGTCTCGTTCCGTTTTTTGGCTCTTGACTTGATTTTTGTTTTCTCCGTTTTTTGGCTCTTGACGTTGCTTTTATTCTTCGTTGTTCACGTAACTCATACTTGGTCTGTTTAAGTGTATCCACGCTTTGTTCTTTATTGTGCTTTTGTGACAAGCTATTTTCGTTGATGTTTTTCCTTGCTTTGTGCAAGCGCTTTTTGTTTTCATCGTATTACTCCAGCGTCATTATTTGTACTTTGTCGGCCTTTCAGATTCAGATTCAGATTCAGAAAACTTTATTTATCCCCGTGGGGCAATTAGAGTTGTGCGAGAGCGGCTTATAGTAGAGACAGTAAGAGCAAGGAAAGACACAGGATAAGAGTAGCTTAGCACTTGAGGTCTAGAGGTAGTGGCTTCAGCATCGAAATAGTATTGCACATCGAGCAGTATTGCACAGTGAGAACACAGTAAGACAGTATTGCGACAGGCCTAAGATGGCACACATTGGGAATATCTCCATCTCAAATTCCCGTAGTGTACTGTATATCCATTGTCTGCCCTTGAGAAAACTCTAACATGTGGATATTTAACGTTTTGTCAATCAATAAAGTGATAAGAGAGTACTGTATACTGCAGGGCAATGTTCTTTCTAATATGCGCACGTGAGCAATTCCGCACTGCTCTCACCCTCACCGCGCGCAGCACGTTTGCAGCGCATAAAAAAATAAAATAAAAAAAACTTGAGCTGCATTTTGTAATTTCGTGTTGTCTTGTAAATAAATCGAACAGTTTATTTGACACACGTGGTCGACGGAGCGGGAAACAAAAATGCGAAAAAGACAGAAATGCACCCAGGTTGTACATTGCTCTCCACCAAAGGCACTTCCATTGGGGCAGGGGTTCCACTTTCCCAACATAGGTGATTACAAAGAGTATATGTAGCCATGTTGCAAGAGAAGGCACGCTCAGTTACCAAAGATGATTGAGTGCTCCTCTCCCTGAACGCTCCTCAATTGGTTTCGGGCACCGCGTTATCACGCAGCTGACGCGAACACAAACAAATGTCATTTTACAAGATTATTCATTGCTGAAAAAAATCTTTTCATTTTAAAAACTGTAAATGCCAGAAGATGACCGATTTACATGCAGATTGTGTTTCTGTCACCGTCGTATGAACGGAACCACATTACTGTCTAAAACAAACTATTCTTTCCTTTGCCACAAGAGGGCGCAACGTGAATGAAACGAGAGGTCAGTAAATGAACGAATATTTTGCTTGTTAGGAGCTGAATTATCGTGTGAATTACTTAAATCGATTAATCAAAGAGTCTGAAAAATATATAAATAATTTGGAACCATATTTTATGTGATTTTAGTTCATGTTGTGTTAAAAACGTGACGAATGCCACACGGCTTCTTTTTCGGATAAAAATGTCACTGGATGAAATCAAACTACACTGTGTTGACGTGCAGCGTCTTGTGGCTGCTGACTTGTACTGTGGAGCATTCTAGGTCAGTTCCATTCTGTAACTAAGGCCAAACAACAAAAATAACACTCCATGGGGCATGCCTATGACAGACGCCATAAATCATAATTTTATCAATTACTGCGTGAGCCAGTGCAAACATCTGTATTGGGCATACACTTATCTTAAATGCTGAAGCGTGCCAGTTTTGATAGCAACTATATAGATACATGTTGAGTTAACCATTACACCAAGTGATAATCAATGCCCAAAGAAGCCGTGTCAAGAAAGTAAGCACACGCTTATCACACTTAGATGACAATATTGGCGACTTTTTAAGGTAACGTCATGTGACATACATTCCACAAATCAATGATTATAAATCACGGTAATAAGAAATTCTGATAATAATTATAACGCTTCTATTTGCAAAGTGGCTTTACTTGACTTGAAGTTGAATTTCACACATGACTACGTTTTGGACAACATGTACTACTGTATTTTGTCGTGCGCGTGCCTGGCTTGATTTACAGTGTGGCGTACGGTGGACAAGGGAGTCTGCCGCGCTGTGATTTTCTATTGGTGGGTACCGGGCTTCTGTTGACACGTGATTGGCTTTGCTGTGGGTGTGTATGAGCGGACTGTTTAGTATTGTCGATTATCATTGGCTATCATGAATGTTGCATCGCAATTGGGCTATACGACCTAGTTTTCTCTCTCATGGTTGGCTAATGCAGTTGTCATCGCACAAGAATGCGGAAGTTGGGTAGTCTACTGAGTCACCGTCGTGTCAGCTGATTCCGTTCGAGTGAGTAACTTGATTTAACTTTTAAAATAAGTCGATTGACAATAAACTTTAGACACGTGACATTTTTGCGGGTTTTCGCGCATGTGTTTAGAGACGTGAATAAAGTGCCGCTTTGAAATTTGCGTGTGTATCAAAATATACATTCCTAGTCAACTAGTACTCGGGGCCGGTAACTAGCTTGACATGCTAACGTTTGCAAACATTTCACCTCAGTCATTTACTTTTGCTTCGTCTTCTTATCGTCCTTTCGGTATTGGTTGGTCAGCTGCTGTATAAAATATGGTTTCACTTTCTCTTGACAAGTCTATAAACTTCACATCGTTTTTTACACGTTCACACCTGTTGTTTGTCGGTGGTGAGAGGCACCTGGTGAGTGACGTACACGTATAACGGAATTTATTACATTTATCAGGTATTGTGATGTTAAAAATGAATAAGGAAGACGTATTTCCATAACTTTCACTCGTTGATAATCACTGCCCTAGACGACAGATGCTACATATTCAACCCGTATATCTACTTTTTCTGAATCGTTTTGTTCAGTGTTGTGTCGTGAGATTTCTTCTAATGTGAAATACGTGCCTTGGCTGAATACAGGTTGGAAAACACTGCTGAAATTATCTCAGAGGGAAAATTGTCTAATCCAACAATGCCTATGTATGCAAAATGGTGGAAACATTTTATTTATTTTTCAAATTAAATATAGTGGAAATTACTTTTCAGAAGGAGGATTCCAACCTGATTTCTGTTTTGGAAAACATGTATATTTAATCTTCTAATTTCTTGATGCCATATTTGGCGTTTTGATATGCTCCCAGCTATATTTATCACAGTTATAAAAATATATATATATCACTGTGTGTAAGGAACCTGTATCATGTATGGAGTTCACAATTTGAATGGAATGACTAACATGACCATTTCCACATATTTATTGAGGCAGCTGCATTCAAAGCATATATTGCACACGCGTTGCATTGTTGCTATTTAAATTGTGAAAATGTGAACTAATGTTTCTGCTTGACTGCATGTTGCTTTCCTTGGTTCGCTTACAATAGAGGCCTTTCCTGTTGATTATTGAGTTATAAGTGGAGGTGAGTTGAATGCCCAGTAGAATTGCCTCAGTCACATTGGCAAATCTGGCCCTGAAAGAGTGGGAGGGAAGCCAGAGTAAGTACTAGACACAAGGAGAGGGAGGTGTGTCATGCCCTGGATTACACCCAGTGTGTGTGTGACTGTGTGTGTG